CAATTGCACTACTGGGTATTTACCCCAAAGATACAAAAGTAGGGATCCGAAAGGGTTCGTGCACCCCGATGTTTATAGCGGCAATGTCCACAATAGCCAAACTGTGGAAAGAGCCAAGATGTCCATCGACAGATGAATGGATAAAGAATAGGTGGTATATATACACAATGGAATATTATGCAGCCATCAAAAGGAATGAGATCTTGCCATTTGCAACGACGTGGATGGAACTGGAGGGTATTATGCTGAGCGAAAGAAGTCAAACAGAGAAAGACATGTATCATATGACCTCACTGATATGAGGAATTCTTAATCTCAGGAAACAAACTGAGGGTTGCTGGAGTGGGGGGTGGGGTGGGAGGGAGGGGGTGACTGGGTGATAGACACTGGGGAGGGTATGTGTTCTGGTAAGTGCTGTGAATTGTGCAAGACTACTGAATCTCAGATCTGTACCTCTGAAACAAATAATGCAATATATGTTAAGGAAAAAAAAAAAGAAGAAGATAGCAGGAGGGGAAGAATGAAGGGGGGGAAATCGGAGAGTGAGATGAACCATGAGAGACGATGGGCTCTGAAAAACAAACTGAGGGTTCTAGAGGGGAGGGGGGTGGGAGGATGGGTTAGCCTGGTGATGGGTATTAAAGAGGGCACGTTCTGCATGGAGCACTGGGTGTTATGCACAAACAATGAATCATGGAACACTACATCTAAAACTAATGATGTAATATATGGGGATTAACAGAACAATAAAAAAATTAAAAAAAAAAAGATAAAACTCAGCAGGGGCCATCAATTAACTCTAAGAACTTGTCCACCACAGGACTGAAGATAACATGGACTGCATTTTCCCTGATATTTCAATTATATGAACAAATTTATATTTTTGTTGATTTGTACATCTCTTTTATTTTTTTCCTCAGAGATAATTTCAATGTGATCTTCTAATCTTTTTTTTTTTTAACAATAGGTGCATTTTGTTAACATAAAACTGTCAGAGTATATGGCACTGTTTTATTACAAACTGACTTTATAAGCCAAAAGGCTTTATAATTATTTTTCCTACTATTTATAGTTCCAGGCTAATTCTTTCCCCTTCCAGGTGGCCACCAGCTACAGGAAACACCAGACCATCTGCACAAAATCCCACCTCCCCTTCTCTGGTCCAACACATGTACTACATGTTCACTTTCTCTGACAATTTTGCAGATTATCAAGAATACATTTATTTGGTCCTGGCTCCTTTCAGATGCTACTGCCTGGCCTCACTCCCAATGTTTTTACTACATTTACCGGAATCTTTTGAGTGTGAGAGCATATTTGTTTCCTGCCTGAATAACTTATAAGAGGATTTTATTATTGCACTTGACATAACCAAATTACTTAGTAATTCTAAACCTTAAAGCATCTCATCAGGCTTACAAAAACTACACTAAAAATTCCCATCATATATCTTTTTTTAAATGAGGTTAGAATGAATGAAGTTAGAAAAGGTTATCTTTTGTTCCTTAGTATATGTTAAAAGGTAACCATTCATGTTCTAGTACATTTATTTGTTACCTTTGAAAAAGCTACAAGCTCTAAATTAATAACGCTGTGCATCTCTTTTGATATAGCAGTACTACTCTATTTCCAAAACAGTCCCATAATATCAAATCTGTTTTTCCTAGCACAAAGACTCTTAGAAAGTCAAAATTGATAAAGGCTTCTTTCTCTTCCTACTGGAGAGGATACAGCTAGGGTTATAAACACAATAGATATAGTCCTTACATGTATAATCTTACCTTCGTGTCAACTCTAATTCAATTAAAAGTTTTTTACAACTTAAAAATAAAAAGCAAAATTTGATTAAAAAATAAAACAGGAAACATGAGAAAGGTTAAATAATCTGACACAAATCTCTAACCCACTGAGGAAGGCATCATTGAGCAAGTGGCCTGGTGTAATACCAGAGGGAAGCTGAGCTAAGGAACAGAGAAAAGATAAAGAATTTTTTAAAAATTAAAGCTTATCTCAGATATAAACTACTATCAGGTACAAACTAAACTGATTTTAAACTAAAAAAAAAAAAAAATCAAAAACAAAACCCAGAAAAGCCAGGGAGCCACTGCCCAGAAAGGAAAGGTGCATGTGGGGCAAGGAGTAGGTAGCTCTTTCCCACTCTTCCTTCAGCAAGCACAAGCATCCTGTTTCTGCAGTAAACTGTTCCTGTCCTGGGAGTCCACATGTCCAACAGTCAGTTCTGTTCTCTGGAATTCTTTTTCCCCCTCACATGTCTAGCAGTGAGGAATGTTTTCAGGTGCAATTAACCAAAATCTTGATTTCGGTTAGAAGCAATTTTTTTTTTCTGAAGTAATAAAGTAGTCCCAGGAAAGGGTGGGATTTAGGTTTGATTCAGCGGCACAATAAAACAATTTTGCAGGCTGTACTGTCAGATTCATTCTAACACCTAATTTCCCGTGATTTTTAAATTAGGGCCACCCACTTCCAGCAGGACAGAAGAGCCTCGTCCTCACCAAAACCCCAAGTTGTTTTAGGCCCTCAGTCCAATTAGGCCCAATTTAGGTCTTGTGCTCATCCCAGGCCCATAGCAGCTTCCAGGCAAATGTCTTACATTAACTGGCTTAGACTATTCAGGACTAAGCTCTGGAACTGGGGATAGGGTCTACCTTCCCAATCACATGAGCTGTAGAAAGAAGCTTCCTGACCAAAATGAGAGTTCTGGTACAAGAAAAGGAAGAAATCAATGTGGAAAAGGCAATCAACAGAGTGCATCACACTCTTTTCCGACTCCTGATTGACTGGATATCTAGTGATAAATGTTTTAGCTGATGGCATGCTTTACTGGCCCATAACACTGCTTGTACTTTTGGGGTAAGTGACTGCTGCTGTGAGGACATGGGTAATTAAAGATAAAGTTTAAAGATACTAAATAATTTTCCTAGCTGAACTCAGAACCATTAGGCTGGCCTCAGTTATGCACAGAGAAAAGGGGAACAGTGAGGGCAGAGAAGGTTTCTGACTTTCTGCCCTTATGACTGACCACTCACTATCTGACAGTGCCTGCTATCCTACTGAATAAAAAGGCAAGACAGGATTATTGAAATAAGATCCCAGAAAGGGGCCAGACCAACGGCACAGTGAAGATACTGAACAGTAGGATTTTTATAGGAGAGGGCGATTTTGCTGAGGCAGAAAGCAATTCAAGTAACAGATCCAGGCAACTCAAAAAGGGAAAACAGAACGAACCAGAGGATTCAATTAAGTACACAGTTTATGGGTCAGCATTCTTTCCATTACACCATACTGGCTTTGGCATTAGAAGCCTTTCTCCAGATGGGGTTACCTAAGGAATAGTTTTCACTCTCAAATTCTTAGAATGGAAAATAATGTTTCCACAAGTTTGAATATAAGGAAGAAAAAGGACACCTCTCAATATCTGGTACTGTCCAAGTTCTAGGCAAGAGAGAGAAAGCATTACATAGGTTTCTAGCTTGGACAGTTGATGTTTTTGCCTTAATTGGGAAGAGCAGGCAGAGAAGTAAGTTAATTAGATCTTTTCTAAGACTGGGAAAAAACTGAGCATTCAATTTTATATGGTATAAAGAGATGTTATCAGGACAATAAAAGATTCACTTATATATTAGAATTCTAAAAGGATCTGCTCATTTTGAAAATCTTTGTAACAAGGGTGTATAGCATTAACTTGCTTAGGTGCACTCCCTTAATTTGGTCTAACATTTTGTTCATACTGGGGACAATACTAATAATTACACTTTATGGGTTGCTGTAAGGATGTAATCACACATATGTATGGATATGGATATTTGCTTGTATGTGTTTTTCAAGCTTACTGTTTGGCATATAGTTGGCCATCAATAAATATTACATTTCTTCCCCCTCCCTCATCCTAGTCACCAAACTGAATAACATCATAAGCTGGCTTGCATGCATTCCTTAGTTAAGGGATCAGGAGGACAACAAAAAGTTTTGTGTCTGAAAACTGTGGTGTGCTCTGTTCTAAAACAAGGCTCATTTTCACTTCAGTGTGGATTTGGGAGAAGCATGTTTTTGAGGGGAACAGATTCATGACCAGGACAGTGGTCAGGGGAATGTGCTTACGGGTACACGCAAACACTACTGAATCATGAGAGAGTGGCAAGGGCATCATTCCCTCAAACTTCGGCTGTTCTTACTTGTAGTGGGTAGGAAAAATATACTGGAATACAAAACTCACTTGCAAAGAGGTTATTTGATGTATATAGATGAATACATTTTGGTTGCTTTTATAGATAAAAAAGAAGCAACATGCTTTTTTTGTATTATCCTAACTTTCCTACAGATAAACTATTATAATTAAATTCTGTTTACTTTTTGACAGCCTCCATTTTTCAACTTAGTTCCCACATTTTATACATGGTTGTTGTTTCAGAACATGTCACGGGCAGTTTCAATGTACCTACTGACACATACCGCTTCCAGATCTCCATAATTAATCCTGAAATTATACCATTTCCATTTCCAGAAAGTCTGAAATCTTTTCTATCGACATTTCAAAGAAATAGAGCTGTAAGGTTCTATCTCCATTTGTAATGGATTACAAAAACAAGAGGTAGCATATTATACGGACAATCATAAAAAGAAAATAATAACCTGTATTTTCTAAACCCCATCTGCAACACCAGATCATTAAGCACGAGCATTTTGAAGGCATGGCGGGAATTAGCACTTCAGAGCTGCAAGCATGAATTGCCACTTTTTATAATCATCTGTTTCTTTCAACTCAGATCAAAACTTCCAACTCACTTAAGGATTTTAGAGCAAAAAGAATCAGAAACATTCCTTTTGGCCCATATCCTTTTGTGTCCTCCCCTCTCCTGACATTCTCTTATTACTCCAGCATTCTTATTTTTCCAAAAAGAATAGGTTAAATTTTTACCCTTTTGAAATGTCTCGTTGGACCCCTTAAAAAAAAAATCACTTTTTTTTTTTTAAAGATTTTATTTATTTGACAGAGAGAGACACAGCGAGAAAGGGAACACAAGCAGGGGGAGTGGGAGAGGGAGAAGCAGGCTTCCCACGGAGCAGGGAGCCCAATGCAGGGCTCGATCCCAGGACGCTGGGATCATGACCTGAGCCGAAGGCAGACACTTAACGACTGAGCCACCCAGGCGCCCCTAAAAATCACTTTTTAACTGTTAAGTGAATTTCCACTTATTTTTAAATTTCTCAGTCCCTAAGGAGCATCATATTCTTTAAGTTACTTTAGTTAGAATTCTATATTTTAGCTTTGCCCAGAGTTGGAATTACAAATGGCTTAAAGGCATTTTCAATTTTTTTCAAATAGTGGCCTATGCGGTATGCTTAGCTTTTTGAAAGAAATAGGCTTTTCAGAGAAACGCCCTAAAATTTTCATATTCCTATAGACTTACACAATTTCAGAGAAGCTCTCTAATAAAATTTAAATTAACAAGGGGTTCAAAGATTTTCATTTTAATGGTCTCACCCAGACACTCCACGATTTCAATTTCCACAGGAGCTTGATGTTTACAGAAACTTGTGAATCCTAATAACCTTATCTGTTTGAAGCTAATTTTTATATGCTAGGTTTTACTAAACAGGATACAATAAAAGGACTATTTAAGTTTTTTGAAGATTTAGACCAAAATACTGTTAGATCACTTCTGCCTTCACTTAAGTGGTAACTCTAAGGCAGGATTTCTCAACCTTGGCATTACTGACATTTTGGGCAGGATCATTCTTTGCTGTGGGAGCTGTCCTGTGCACAGTAGAATGTTTAGCAGCATCCCTGGTCTCCACCCACTAGATGCAAATAGCACCCCAACCTCACCCTCCCCAACCCCAATTACTTCTCACAACCCCCCAAAAAATGTCTCCAGACACCGCCAAATGCCCCTGGGTGGGGAGTGGGGGCAGAAGGAAGCAAAATGGCCCCGGGTTGAGAACTGCTGCGCTAAGGCATGCTATTTTGTGCATCAATACCTACAATTCTACAAGCCTCAATCTTTATTTTTGCAAAGGAAGCATATAATGTAAAATGAAAACAAATCTGGAACCAAATTGTCCTGGCAGAGAAAACATATGTTAAAATAAATCAAATTAAGATTATAATTATAAACCAGCCAGTTTCTGGGCAGCAAGGTCTGATCTCAGCTGAACCTCAGCTAATTTCAAAGTCATTTCTCTATAAAGAGCACCACTCACTTTTAGGTCCGTCCCCAATATTTGCTTCTTTTCTCTCTGAAGTTCTTTTCTGTAGGACTGGATGTTTTCCTCTCTGTCTGATAAAGCCACCACACCACTACTCTTTTCTTTGCTTGCTTCACAACTTTGCACCAAGTTGTTTTCAACCTTAACTAAGGCAGAAGAAAGAGAACCAAGGATAACCAGTTCCTTCTCCAAAGTTAACGCCAAATGATTAATTAGGGAATCGACACTTCCGAATTTTAGATTTTTGAAGAAACAGTTTATAGGGAGAGCTCTGATGAGATTATGAAGGCACTGGAACAAAACTGTTTGATTCCTGGAATAAAAAACCAAACATAACATTATAAAACTTGGGACAGCACAAAGCAGTTGTATACAACTTACTATAGTAATTAATACTCATTTATAAATCCTCTCATGATGAATAGAACCAATAATGCATGCATGTGATCTTTGATATAATTCAGACTGTAGCAATCAAATATACATATTCTATACCAAGTCAGTTGATGTTCAGCACTTGCTTCATGATTAATTTTCTCTCTGAGTAATAAGATTAATATTATATTTTTTAAAATGTCATTGCAGGAGAAAGGTAAGTAGAAATCTTAAAATAACTATTAGGCCCTAATCAACCAAAAAAAAAAGCCCAAAACAAACACCAAGTTAAAACAGCTCTAGTTTCCACATGAGGCCACCTGTCCACTGAGGCTATACCAGGCAATGACCTGGACATGTCCCACAATGACACAGATCTCTACTGTGGAGATGGCTCTTGGACCACACACATACGCACTAACTTCTCTGGACATACTCCAATTTGATAGGCATTACCTGGAATAGACTATTAAAATCCCTTCAAATGGTGTTTTTTGTTTCCACTTGAAGAGTGTCCCATAGAAACTTCCTGGCATTTTGCAAAAGCAAATTTCGGGAAATTCTCTGATTTCTTCACACTTCATGTGTTCTAGGAGCCATGTCTTCATTAAAGTCAGAGAATAGCTGGGTGATGTGATTTGAAAACAAGTTTTGTTAAACACTGTGAGAAGTGCAAACAGATCCTCCATGTGTTCTACAAGAAAAACATGTCACAAGCTCTGTCATTAAACTGTCCATTATCAAGTAAAAAGAGTTCTTGAAATTTTCTAAGTCAATTAGGTATATGATTAAAAAGTACCGACAAAAATTACCTATAGGTGTCTTCTTTGGAAATACCAGCAGGTATTGCCTACTTGAAAGGTCTTCTAGACTTAAAAAAAGGCTGCCGCACTGAGTATAATGACCTTCTGAGTTACCATTTCCCCTCTCCCTAATTTGTAGCAGCACAGTGCAACAAAAATTACGGAATGCTAGAAGTGGTGAAAGAGATGTTACAGCAGTGATGACCTGTACACACTCTTTCTCAGATGACTGTTCACAAAAAAAGCTTTCGTCTTCCTTTTCCTCTTCCTCTCCCTCTTCCTCACTGTCAACAGCCAACTTGATCCTTTTTGCCTCTGATCCTATTTCACATGGCACTGAGCATGGTGCTGGGAAAAAATCCCTAGTCAACTTGATAACCCTATTTTGACACTTAATAAGCCGACGGCTGGAGCTATGAGCTTGATCCATTAACAGTGATAAAGTCACATGATTCAGGGACCTGTAAAAAATCCAGAGTTGAGTCTTAAAGCTCATTCTTTAAAATAAAAGAGATGATTAAATGCTACACAAACAACAAAAAATTTCTCTTTTCCTAGGAAACATCATTTCAAACATAAAGTATATCAGAAAATCAAGTATATAAACCAAACACATTTTTAAAGATCCTGTAATAGCACTTTTCTTGAAACAGGAAAGCAAAAACATTGTAAATATGTTGAACTGCAGGAAAATAACTTCCTTGAGAGAAAGGAATGGTAAAATAATGCTGGATTTTACTTTTGAGGTAGGTTCTCCCCCTTCTTTTTAAACAAGAAAAACAATACTCATTTTTTAAAGAGTTTATTTTGGCAATAGTTTAGAATGCAAATAACTCTAAAGTAAAAACTCTATTTTATACTCCCCTAAATAACTTGAATAAAATCTGCTTTTTAATACAGAACATTGTTTATCCCTCAGCAATGATACTGTCTGGGATATGATATTGTGAAAATTAATTTCACCTGTTTCTATTTACATTTTTTAATATGGCTAATTAGAACATTTAAAATTGCTTATGTGGCTTACATTATATTTCTGTGGGACAGTGCTATTCTAGACCATCAAGATAATGTTATCATGATACTTACAGCTTCAAAGAAGATGTGGTTGTCACTCCAACAACCAAGCTGTCATCTATTACATGATACCATATCTTCTTTACTAGCTGTTCTGAATCTTGAAAACTGTCTGGTATCCTTTCATCAAAGGTACAGACAGGATTTTCTTCTTTACCACAAAGAGTAAAAAGATGTGCCTTATAGAAAAACATGTTAAATAACTGATTACCAAAAAAAACCTACCAAATGTGGCGAAACTACAAAAATAATGTAAGTCAGCTTTTCGTCAGGCCTTATAGCTTATATATCTTAAATTGTCACCTATAATATTGTACGTTACAGATTATATATATATCACTAAAACAAAATTTATAGAACTTATATGTAATTAACTATCTATTCAGATCAAGAAGCATGGCTTGATTGGAAACAAGATGAGGTATCCAAAACAGAGCCAGCAAAGACATAAACTTGGAATCCATTTTGAAAAAATTCTGACAGTATGTGTCCCAGGCATGCTGAAAACAATCCAATCATTATTAAAGTGACTTGTACTAAACCTATAACTGTAAAATTTTGTCCAAATAAAACTGATTATCTTTGGACTGCTGATCAATTATGGCTAAAATTGTATTCTTAAAGTCCAGGCCATACTCATTCATTTCCATGCACATATGGATTTATAATAACAATAGAAATGGTGGGAGGAGGAGGAGTAATAACCATAATAATTCACAACACTTACTGAATGCTTACTATGTGTCAGGCACTGTTCTTAATGTTGCTCGTGATTCAATTTGCTTAACCTTCACACAAAAAAACCCCTAGTACCCTAGGTCGGTAATATTATCTACACTTTCCAGATAAGGAGAACAAGACAAAAGGAAGCTAAGTACCTTGCCCAAAGTCGCCCAGCTAGCAAATGGCAGAGCTGGGATTTGAACCAAAGCCAACTGGTTCCAGAGCCCATGCTCTATCTTAACAACTACTCTATCCTGCCCTTCTATGTGGGCAGTAATTACTGAAAAAAGATATGGGCATTTACATTCTAGTGGACTAAACAACTTCCTAGGAATCTGATGCTTCTGCCAGTAGCTGTGAGCTCTGAGACAGGCCATTCATTCGAAACCTGGGGAAATTTTTGCTACCTGCCAGAATTGTTTTTAAAATTAATCACATAAACAGCCCCAAATGGTGCCTTGCACACAGTAGTTTCAGTGCAGTCACTTTTAAACATTTCTTCCCCTTTTCTAATATTGGCAAAATCAGGGTGTCTGGGTGGCTTAGTCGGTTCAGCATCCAACTCATGATTTTGGCTTAGGTCATGATCTCAGGGATGTGAGATCAAGCCCCGCGCTGGGCTCTGTGCTGGTCATGGAGCCTGCTTAAGATTCTCTCTCTCCCATTACCTCTGCCCTTCCTCTCTCTCTCCTGCTCTAAAATAATAATAATAATAATAATAATACTGGCAAAATAGTTGGGGTGAGGTGGCGAAGGGAAATGGGGAGACTTTTAAAAATGACCTTCATGAGCTTTCCCAAGAGATTGGTACTGTAATACGGAAATGCAACATGATGTGCTTTTGTTATGATTCTCACATTAACGGAATCCTATTTTGGACCCAAGTCCTCATATTGCTAAGACTGAAATACAGACACAAGGCATAGACTGCTATGAGAATGGTCAATCTAGAAGAAAATCAGAGCTAGGCACTAAGGTGACTTGAGGGAAAAAACTTACTGGATTAAATTTCTCTATGCTAGCTTTTCTTGATTTATTTGTAACTTTGCTATGTTGTCTTTGTATGGAATTAATGTGCATAAATACTATTTTTTATGAAGTCAGGGAGCTTTTGCTAACTTTCTACATTACTGTACTGACATAAGCAACTGCAAGGTACCTAAAGAGGTTCTTATGCTGGTCAACCACAAGAAAAATGAGAGTAAAATTATAAAAGGCAGATACAAACACTAAAAAAGCATAGCAATTTAGGGGCATTAACCAGAAGAATAAATACCCTTAGAAATGAACATTGCAACAGACAAAAAGAACAATTATAATACTGATGAAATTACATATTCATCAATGAAAGGTTGAATAATATGCTGCATATTCTGTTTAAGGAGTCAGAAAGTACATAATTCACCTAGGGGTAATTTCTATGCAAATCATACAAATAAAAAAAGTTTAATAGTTAAATCTTTTGAACAAGAGGACTTGTTCCCCAAGGTTCCTGATTACTGAGATTTTAATATCCTACAGAATAATTTGCAAATTGGTAAAATATTGGCTCCTTAATCAAATATTTTCAAGTCATGAAAGTCCAGCATTATAATCTCTGCCACTTTGCTTCTTGGATCCATTAAGTGGCATTTTCTAAAATATCCAAATATTCCAATTTAAGTAATGCTTCAATAACTTGTAGATTTTCAATTCATAAAATGATAAAATGGTCACATGATTAATTTTACCTTCTCTGCACTTGACGTACTATCATCTTTCCCTTGAACCAGGTTTATTAAAGTTTTGTAAGATTTTGAAATAATTTTTTTCTTAAGCAAGAGATGCTGCTGCAATTCCTGAATAGAAGCCAAACCAACCTATAAAATAGAAAGAAAAACCACTGCCAGAGACATTTCAAATGAAATCTGATGATACCGTTAATTCAGAAAGTACTTTCTCCAAATTTGCTTATTAATTCATTTTTCTGTAGAAAGGCAGAGAATACTTCTCAGAGCAAAACTATTTTCTTCACAAATTTTAAGTAATTATAAAGGAAACGAACATAGCAAGTAACTGCAATAGAGTTTATGTACCCCATTACAAGAATGCCAATTTATTAGCATGCATTTCCCCACTGAATTAAGCAATCAATCGATACAAATATGGATGTCTAATCAATATGAATAAAAATCAAGGGCTACCAACACTCCTACCCCCACAGGTAAACTATTTTTCTTGTTGAAATAATTTCTGCTTCAAAAAGCAAAGACATCATTATGAGTAGAAATGGTCACTTTTAATTTGATACTATTTGAAATCCTGTTCATACAACATCTATAGCAAATTTTAAAGATAACACATAGCCCCCAAACTGCCACAAGTTTATTTTTGTGCTAATAAACTCAGTGTTAAGGTGGGCTCTTAACTACAGGAAACAAACAAAATTTGGCTCTGAGCTGGGTAGGCAGCAATCCATTCCTTTTATTATAGCAGATAAACAGATTTCACTACCAAGGATGAAACATTCATGAAATGTATTTTGCTACTGAAAATATAAAGTCGTATCACTGAACTGATAGAAGTGGTTTCATTTCAGATGGATATCTGAGACTGTTTAAGTATTAATCCAGCTTTTAATCTAACTTGTTTTTCTAGATTGAAAACATAAAATGCATCCTGTTTTTTAATCCCTTTCTTTCAAATTACAGTTTAAGTCAGGTAAATTCCTTTAACTTCTTATTGGTGAACAAAAGCTGGAAAGTGAAGACTGAATTATATCTTACCTCACTGCACAAAATAGGTAAAGTGTCTAGCTAATATTTTAAAACTTCATCTGTTGACCTATTTCTGTGGGCTCCACATTATTCACACTCATTCGCTGAGTAATTTGTGACTTAGGGAAAGGGAGCTGTACACATCAGAGTGGGGGAGCCAAATCGGAGAATGCTGAGGGGTAAGGAGTAGAAGAGAGGAATATGTGGGCAGACTGACAATGAAGGCACTCTCAAAAATTATGTGTGTTCTCTCTTCCCTACTCTCTTCAAAACACCCCCCGCCCCACTCCAGGACTAAATGGTGAATCACTAGACTACTTAAATATTCTATTTTGTGAAGTTTTGTTATAAAGCTATAAAAATAACCATATGATAAAACATTCAAACGGCATAAAAATACTTCTCAACTTCTATTTCTAGACCTTCAATTCCATTTGCATAGCCAACAGATTGTTTACCTTTCCAGAACTTTTCTATGTGTATGTTAAGGAATGCTTTCTTTCTCCTCACTACAAACAAGCAAATAAAACATAACCCAAACCAAATACGGGAGCATACTGTACTGCAGAACACCAAACCTTGCTTTTTGGTCTTTTTATTGTGATCTCTCTCATACACGCAGAAAAGGGCATAATACAAAAAACAGTTTACAAACTAATAATGAAGTCAACACCCAAGGAACCATGTGCAGTCAGCACAGTCACGAACTTCTCTTTTTCCAATAGAGGCAACACTACTCTGGCCTTTTAAGGTAACTTCCTTGTTTGTCTTCATAATTTTACCATCACTGTATCTCCTAAAGAATATTTTTAGTTTTTTGTGTTTTGCTTTTGAACCTTTTATGAATGGAGCCATTCTGTTTGTGTTAGGTTTTTAGAGTCATCCCATTTGTCACCAGGAGCTGTAGTCTGTGACTTTCACTGCTCTGTAGTATTCCATCATATGACCATACCAGCTCGCTTCTCCATTCTCCTGCTGATGGACATCTGGGTTATGTCCAGGCATGCATGGACTATTACAAACAGTGCTGTTGTGAACATTCCTGTACATGTGCACAAGTTTCTCCAAGGTCCTGGTCTCCCCATTTCCCCTCCAACTGGTTCCCTTCCAACCAGGTGGAAAACAAATTCCATAGGGGAAAGAACGGTGAGACAGACACTGGTTCTAGCTCTGCCTGTCCTTAACCTTTCTGGTTATTTGTTTCCTCACATGTAAAATGGAGGAGGAGGGGTAGACTTGTTAATCTCCAAAAGACCTTCCAGGGGATGGTGGGTGGCTCAGTTGGTTAAGCGTCATGATCCCAGGGTCCCGGAATTGAGCCCCATGTCGGGCTCCTTGCTCAGTGGGGAGTGTGCTTCTCCCTCTCCCTCTCCCCCCCTACCCTGCTCATACCCCCTCTCTCTTTCTCTCAAATAAATAAATAAAATCTTAAAAAATAAAATAAAAATAAAATAAAAGGCCTTCCAATGCTTGGAAATATTTTTATCCAACTTAGGAGCTAGTGATAACACGTGGATACTTGGAACAAAATGGACATGCAACTCTTATTCACCACTTCCATATGCTCCTGCCTTCTCTCTGTGTTTCTTTCTTATTTTCCTTCTATGAATCTGTGCTACCTTCTGAGCAAGTTTTTTTAGGATTTTATCTTTATTTTTTTTATTATGTTCAGTTAGCCATTGTATAGTACATCATTAGTTTTTGATATAGTGTTCAGTGATTCATTAGTTGCATATAACACCCAGTACTCATCATAGCACATGCCCTCCTAATTTTTGTAACACAGTTTGGCTTGCTTCTTTGCTCTGCATCTCTTTGAGTCAACTCTTAAATTCACCTGATGAGACTTTTTTATTTCAATGTATTTTTCACTCATAGATACGCTATTTGGTTATTTCCTGTGAATAATTGCTCATGATGCCTTATTTCTTTATGTGCTTATTCTGTGAGTGGTTCATTTTCTTTGAAAAACTACTTGTGAGATTTATAAGAGGCCTAGGATAAAATGTATATTTTGAGAGAGGATGGGATGTTTGTTTCTGCCAGTTGTCTAGAGTACTACTGCTTTAGTTTAAACACAAACGCTCCCAGGCAAAAGTAGCAACAGTGTTCTCTGGGTTCTCTCTGAGTTCCAGCCTTTACAGTTTGGCCTGATAACTTATTCTTACATTTTCAGCATTCTGAAGCTTTTAGGGAGATTTTAAAAACATATTTCAACTATGATTTTAACTTGGTTTTATCAGAAGAGTTGGTCCAAATAAATTAGGTAACACATTAGTAGAGGTGGAACTTCTAAAAGTCATGCTTTCATAAATTATTTTGGCAACATTTCTAAATCAGTATAAAGATCTACCTTATTTTTTTTGACAGCTGCATACTATTCCATAGTTCAAGGATATTATAACTGATCTACCAAACTCCTAATGATGGATATTTAAAATGACTGAATTTTGTTGTCCTTAAATACTACATAAACAGCCCTATAAAATCATCTTTACTGTACAAGTATATCCTTAGAATAGATTTCCAGAAGTAAAACTGCGAGAGTAAAAAGATATGTCCAATTCACATTAGCAATAACAAGTTTCCTTCTGAGGAGGTTGAGCCACTTTACATTCTCAAGAATACTGTTTCAGAATGCATATTCACATTAAGGAAATTCATCCTTTGTCACTTGTTACAATTTCTATTTACATAACTTGTCTTTTTATATATTTTACTTTGTTCAGAGAACAAAAGTTTTTAATGTAATTGATCTTTCCCTTTATGGGAAATCATCTTAAGGGCAGTTAGGGGGAAGAGATTCCTTATGTACAGAGGGAGGAACATCAGAATAACATCAGACCTATCCACAGAGATCTGGCAAGCCAGAAAGGGCTGGTAAGACATATTCAGGGTACTAAATGAGAAGAACATGCAGCCAAGAATACTCTATCTGGCAAGGCTGTCATTTAGAATGGATGGAGAGATACAGAGCTTCCAGGACTGGGAGAAACTGAAAGAATATATGACCACTAAGCCAGCCCTGCAAGAAATATTAAGAGGGGTTCCAAAAAAGGAGAAAGACCCCGAGAGTGATATAGAACAGAAATTTACAGAGACAATCTATAGAAACAAGGACTTCACAGGCAACATGATGACAATAATCTTTCAATAATCACTCTCAACATGAACAGCCTAAATGCTCCCATAAAATGGCACAGGGTTGCAGATTGGATAAAAAGACAGAACCCATCCATATACTGTCTACAAGAGACTCAATTTGAACCTAAAGATACATCCAGACTGAAAGTGAAGGGATGGAGAACCATCTTTCATGCCAACGGACCCCAAAAGAAAGCTGGGGTAGCAATTCTCATATCAGACAAATTAGATTTTAAGCTAAAGACTGTAGTTAGAGATACAGAAGGACACTATATCATTCTTAAAGGGTCTATCCAACAAGAAGATCTAACAATTGTAAATATCTATGACCCCAGCATGGGAGCAGCCAACTACATAAGCCAACTGTTAACCAAAATAAAGAGACATATTGATAATAATATGTTAATAGTAGGCGACCTTAACACTCCACTCTCAGCAACAGACAGATCATCTAAGCAGAAAATCAACAAAGAAACAAGAGCTTTGAATGACACACTGGACCAGATGGATCTCATAGATATATACAGAACATTCCACCCTGAAACAACAGAATACTCATTCTTCTCGAGCGCACATGGAACTTTCTCCAGAATAGACCACATACTGGGTCACAAATCAGGTCTCAACCGATACCAAAAGATTGAGATTATTCCCTGCATATTCTCAGACCACAATGCTTTGAAACTGGAACTCAATCACAAGAAAAAGTCTGGAAGAAATTCAAACACTTGGAAGCTAAAGACCATCCTGCTCAAGGACATCTGGGTCAACCAGGAAATCAAAGAACTTAAACAATTCATGGAATCCAATGAGAACGAAAACACATCAGTCCAAAACCTATGGGAAACGGCAAAGGTGGTCCTAAGGGGGAAATACATAGCCATCCAAGCCTCACTCAAAAAAAATAGAAAAACCCTGAATACACAAACTATCTTTACACCTTAAAGAACTGGAGAATCAACAACAAATTAAGCCTAACCCACACACGAGAAGGGAAATAATTAAGATGAGAACAGAGATCAATGAATTAGAAACCACAAATACAATAGAACACATCAACGAAAATAGAAGCTGGTTCTTTGAAAGAGTTAATAAGATCAATAAACCACTGGCCAGACTTATCCAAAAGAAAAGAGAAAGGACCCAAATTAATAAATTTATGAATGAAAGAGGAGAAATCACAACTACCATCAAGGAAATAGAAATAATTATCAGAAATTATTATCAACAACTATATGCTAATAAATTAAGCAACTTGGAAGAAATGGATGCATTCCTGGAAACCTATAAACTACCAAGACTGAAACAGGAAGAAGTTGATAACCTGAATAGACCACTAACCAGTAATGAGATTGAAGCAGAGATTGGAGGGTATGTAATATGGTGAGTGCTGTGAATTGTGCAAGACTGTTGAATCTCAGATCTGTACCTCTGAAACAAATAATGCAATATATGTTATGAAAAAAAAAAAAAAGAAGAAGAAGGTAGCGGGAGGGGAAGAATGAAGGGGGGAAATCGGAGGGTGAGACGAACCATGAGAGACGATGGACTCTGAAAAACAAACTGAGGGTTCTAGAGGGGAGGGGGGTGGGAGGATGGGTTAGCCTGGTGATGGGTATTAAAGAGGGCACGTTCAGCATGGAGCACTGGGTGTTATGCACAAACAATGAATCATGGAACACTACATCAAAAACTAATGATCTAATGTATGGTGATTAACATAACAATAAAAAATTAAAAACAAAAAAACCTCCCAAAAAACAAGAGTCCAGGGCCTGATGGATTCCATGGGGAATTCTACCAAACATTCAAAGAAGAAATACCTATTCTACTGAAGCTGTTTCAAAAATCAGAACCAGAAGGAAAGCTTCCAGACTCCCTTCTATGAGGCCAGCATTACCTTAATCCCCAAACCAGGCAAAGACTCCATCATAAAGGAGAATTTCAGGCAATATCCCTGATGACTATGGATGCCAAAATTCTCAAGATCCTAGCTAACTGGATCCAACAGTACATTAAAAGGATCATCCACCATGACCAAGTGGGATTTATCACTGGGATGCAAGGGTCATTCAACATTCGCAAATCAATCATTGTGATAGAACACATTAATAAGAGGAGGGAGAAGAACCATATGGTCCTCTCAATTGATGCAGAAAAAGCATTTGACAAAATACAGCATTGTTCCTGATTAAAGCTCTTCAGAGTATAGGGATAGAGGGAACATTCCTCAAGTTCATAAAATCCATCTATGACAAACCCACAGCGAATATCATCCTCAATGGGGAAAAGCTGAGAGCCTTTCCCTTAAGATCAGGAACATGACAAGGATGCCCACTCTCACCACTATTGTTCGATATAGTACTAGAAGTCCTAGCAACAGCAATCAGACAACAAAAAGAAATAAAAGGTATTCAAATTGGCAAAGAATAGTCAAACTCTCTCTCTTCACAGATGACATGATACTTTATGTGGAAAACCCAAAAGACTCCACCCCCAAATTACTAGAACTCATCCAGCAATTCAGTCATGTGGCAGGATACAAAATCAATGCACAGAAATCAGTTGCTTTCTTATACACTAACAATGTAACTATAGAAAGAGAAATTAGAGAATCGATTCCATTTACAATACCACCCAAAACCGTAAGATACCTTGGAATAAACCTAACCAAAGAGGTAAAGGACCTATACTCTAGGAACTACAGAATACTCATAAAAGAAATTGAAGAAGACACAAAAAGATGGAAAAACATTCCACGCTCATGGATCGGAAGAATAAACACTGTTAAAATGTCTATGCTGCCCACAGTAATCTATACTTTCAACGCCATCCCAATCAAAATACCAAGAGCATTTTTCATAGTGCTGGAACAAACAATCCTAAAATTTGTATGGAATCAGGAAAGACCCGGAATCACCAAGGAAATGTTGAAAAAGAAAAACAAAGCTGGGGGCATCACGTTGCCTGATTTCAAGCTCTATTACAAAGCTGTGATCACCAAGACAGCATGGTACTGGCACAAAAACAGACACATAGACCAATGGAACAGAATAGAGAGCCCAGATATGAACCCTCAACTCTATGGTCAAATAATCTTCAACAAAGTAGGAAAAAATGTGCAATGCAAAAAAGTCTCTTCAATAAATGGTGTTGGGAAAATTAGACAGCTGTATACAGAAGAATGAAACTCGACCATTCTCTTACAACATACACAAAGATAAACTCAAAATGGATTGGATGAAAGACTTCAATGTGAGACAGGAATCCATCAAAATCCCAGAGGAGAACAAAAGCAGTAACCTCTTCGACATCGGCCACAGCAACTTCTTTCAAGACACGTCTCCAAAGGCAAGGGAAACAAAAGCAAAAATGAACTATTGGGACTTCATCAAGATAAAAAACTTCTGCACAGCAAAGGAAACAGTCAACAAAACAAAGAGGCAGCTCACAGAATGGGAGAAGGTATTTGCAAATGACACTACAAAGGGCTAATATCCAAGTTCTATAAAGAACTTCTCAAACTCAAATAATCAAGTCAAAAAATGGGCAGAAGATATGAACAGACACTTCTCAAAAGAAGACATACAAATGGCTAACAGACACATGAAAAAATGTTCACCATCATTAGTCATCAGGGAAATTCAAATCAAAACCACATTGAGATACCACCTTACACCAGTTAGAAGGGCAAAAATTGACAAGGCAAGAAACAACAAATAATGGAGACGGTGTGGAGAAAGGGGAACCCTTTTACACTGTTGGTGGGAATGCAAGTTAGTACAGCCACTTTGGAAAACAGTGTGGAGGTTCCTCAAAAATTTAAAAATAGAGCTACCCTATGACCCAGCAATTGCACTCTTGGATACAGATGTAGTGAGAAGAAGGGCCATATGCACCCCAATGTTCATAGCAGCAATGTCCGCAATAGCCAAACTGTGGAAAGAGCCGAGATGCCCTTCAATAGACGAATGGATAAAGAAGATGCAGCCCATATATACAATGGAATATTACTCAGCCATCAGAAAGGATGAATACCCAACTTTCGCATCAATATGGATGGGACTAGAGGAGATTATGCTGAGTGAAATAAGTCAAGCAGAGAAAGTCAATTATCATATGGTGTCACTTATTTGTGGAACATAAGGAATAGCAGGGAGGACATTAGGAGAAGGAAGGGAAAAATGAAGGGGGGGAAATCGGAGGGGGAGATTAACCATGAAAGACTATGGACTCTGAAGAAACAAACTGAGGGTTTTAGAGGGGATGGGGGGGGATGAGTTAGCCTGGTGATGGGTATTAAGGAGGGCACGTACTGCATGGAGCACTGGATGTTATACGCAAACAATGAATCAAGGAACACTACATCAAAAACTAATGATGTACTGTATGGTGACTATCAGAACATAACATAATAAAAAAAAGAGATTATTAATAATTTCCTAACTGTAATAATAGTATGGTGTGTTTACATAGGAGAATGTCCTTATTTTTTAGGCAATCCCTGCTAAAATATATAGGAGTGAAGTTATAATATTTGGAACTTTCAAATGGTTCCACAAAAATGTACATACACACATGCATATGCACACACAAGCACAGATGAGGAAGATAGAATTTTTCTAAAAAGTACAAACAGTTGAATCCTCGTGAGGACTAGAGAAAACTACAGTGCTGTTCTATGAACTTTTTGGAATACTTAAAAATTTTTATGAATGAAAAAAGGCAGGTTACAAAAGAACATACATCTTATAATCACATTTCTACATAAATTTGCAATATATTCATTAAAAAAACCTACAGGAATATATATGCCAAAGTGTTAAAATGGGTTATAGCTCAGTAGTGGACTCATAGGTAATTATTAGTTTCTTTTTAATATTTCTTTGTACAGTCTGAGTATTTTACAGGGAATATGCATTACCTTCATACACTTGGAAAAAACCAAAAATTCTTTTTCAGAGAGCTTTGTATGGAAAATTTGAAGGCAAACTGTTCATGTTTGGAACATGTTATGAGTCATCATATTTGATGCTCCTTTAAAAGAGATACTGCGATATACTGATCCTTAAGACCAGAAAAAATGTGTTCTCAAAAGTGAGCTTCATGTATTTTATCTTGCAAGTCTTATTAAATTTACAGTCGTACCACAAAAAAGTATCATTTTTAGATAATGCATTTATAAGTAATGTCATAATAGTTTTTATAGAAGTATTAAAAAGGCGAAGATCCTTTGAAATACCATTTTTTCCCACTGAGTTGTTTACGCATTAAGATCCTTTCTTTCAATGTTCTTTCCATCATTTAGAACAGCACTAACCCAAAAAAGCAAAACAAACAGCAAACATAGCCACTAACTTTCAATCCTCTTTCCAGGGGTGGAACCATCAAATAACGATTCTGATCTTTGTCTTCAAATAAGTCCTCTTCACTGCAATCCAATGTTTCACTCTAAGAAATAAAAAAAAAATACACTAAAACTGAAATTTTGAAATAAATTGAAAATTTATAAGATTAACAAAATACAATTAAAGTTTATCCAAAGGGCAGTTTTCCATGTTACACACTATTAGATAAAAGACAAAAAATATGTATTTCCCCATCACTTCTTGTAACCAGAAAAAATTACTATTACTATCACCACTGACCTAACATTTCTATACTGCTTCAAAAATATCAGCTTACTAGATTTTTATAAAATCCCACAACTAGGGAAAATAAGAATTATCTTCATTTTATTAAGGAAAAACACAGACTCAGATATTTTATACAGATCTGAAACTTCAGGGGTATTATTTCCCTTCTGCCCAAGCTCTTAACATATTATGAACTGTTACTTCTTTTAATAAAGCAGGTTCATTTTATTTTACTCCTTAATTAATCCAATGTTATCATGTTTACTGGTATAAAATGTGACTTTCAGAAGCAACAATAAAGTTAATTTACAGTGTTACTATCACTATATTCCAAATTTATATCAAAAGCATAGTCCATTTGTAAAACATTTATTGAAAGGAGAGTCAATGTATAATTTCAAAAATGCATTCTACGTATTTTTAAAGTTCAAACGTTTACTGTAAGTATGAAATTATAAACATTGAAACAGTGGGTCAAAAGCTTTAAAGTGCTTCACCTTTCTAAAATGGTTCTTAAATATATAAAAAGTATACAGAACTTACTGAATAGTTTATGTAGCCAAGATCTGTTATTGTAAATGAACTCAGGCAATCTGAATTCAAGGACTCCTGAAAAACTAGCAGTACTTGTTCACTTCCAGTTCCTATAAAGTCATCTATCAGTACTGAGCTAATTTTTTCCCACTTGGCAGCAACCTGAAAGAAAGAGAATGGAAAAGAAAAAAAAATCAGACGTGAAATAAACTAAATCCTTTTGTTGCATGTAGGTGTAATGTGTCCTCTTCAATCTTATAAACAAGTAACGAAAATGGTAAACACTAAAAACTAAAGATATTGGGGGATCAGACAACATAAGGAGTTACAACAATTTTACAAATAGCAAGATACTTAAATTTAATATTTTATCAAATGTTTGTCCAGTGTCTGTCACACTCCTCATTTCTATATTAAAATCTTATTATGATTTATAAATTCTAAACTTCTCATGATTATTTTGGAAACTCTAGGTAACTAGAAAGTAGTGGTAAACACTCAAAAGTTCTCGAAGCAGAATAACTTTTAAGAGTCAAGATGAACTTAATACACTAAACTTTGGTGGAAGAGAACATAGCCATTATTAGGGACACAGAGTGGGGAGGGATCCTACTAGTGATGTACCTAGAACCGTCCTAGCCCACTGGAATGATCTGATCAGTTTATACCAGAATGCGGGACCCCAAGTTTAAAACAGAAGACAACTTCGTAAAGGTCCATGAAGCTGAAAGCCTCCAGCCTGGTCCCCTGTAAAACTAATACCATGGGGATAGCTATCCCTTCTCCCTCAGACAGAAAAGCTAAAACTCCTGCTCAGAATCCTAGCACTAGCAGAGATACATCATCTAGATGATAGAGGGTGGCATGTATTAGAGCAAGACTGTAAGTAAGACTTCAATCTATATAACCAAATATCAATCTTTCCCATATAAGGTTAATTTCCAAAGCCAGGATTTTTCACTTATGCAGGGAGAAAGTTTATTTGTATACCCATATCCTCCCTTCCTCCCACCACACCCCCACCATGAGTATCATGGAGTACAATGAACTATGTGAAGATATTAATAGTACGAATGTGCTCAACAGGGGCACCTGGGTGGCTCAGTTGGTTGAGCATCCAACTCCTAATTTCGGCTCACGTCATGATTTCAGCGTCATGAGATGGAGACTGGCATCAGCTCCGTGCTCAGTGGGGAGTCTGCTTGAGATTTCTTTCCCTCTACCCCTCCCCCCACTCACGTGTGCACTCTAATAAATATTTTTAAAAAAAGAATGTGTTCGACATGCAAACACAATAGAGCTATGCACTCATGTATGCACACACACATTTACAATCTACAGCTCTAGAATAGTGCTGTCCAAATATAGGAGAGCAACAATGCAAGGCATATATATTTAATCTTATATTTAATTTGATCTGCTATATCCAAAATAGTATTTCAATTCAATATTATCAATAAAATTATTAACTAGATATTTTCCTATCATTTTTACTAAGCCTTTAAAATCTGGTGTGTATGTGACATTTATAGCACATTCCAATTCAAACGAGCCACATTCCAAATGTTGAATAATTACACGTGGCCAGAGGCTACCATATTAGAGAACACACCTCTAGAACGTACTAACTTCTATCTACAACATACCAATATTTGTTTTAGGTATACTTGACAATGATTCAGTTTTACCTGCTACACAGATTCTTGTCAAAACTTACAGAGACAATTTCTACTCGAGAGAGAAAGCCTAAGAGAAAAGTTAATCAGGCATTTGTCTAGACTCAGCTGTTTCAAGTTCTATCACTGGATTAAACATTATACCTGGGGCTTTTATGAAGGACTGATCTGAGAACATGCTAACCTTGATTTTCAGTATTTATTCTAATTTATGCTTGTTTGTACTTTACTTGTCTTTTAAGCTGCCTTAATTCCTTTATAGAATGAGGTAGTAAAAGGATGATTGGATGAATCCCTAGCCAACCCAAAGGAAGATTGTGTCTATTGTTTTTTTCCCAATTTGGAGCAAAACTGCTATCAAAGACACCATTTTATTATTCAATAATGTATTCACTTTATTATTCAAAACCTCTTACATAATACCACAAACAGTCAATTCCTCTCAGAACTCAATGTCAAGAAACAAAAAATTTCCCCTTTCCACTCAGTTGTAAAACCTGCTATATTTGCTTTTTTTGTCCTAACTACTAAACTAAGTATAATTCCTCAAATGCAATCACTTCCCTTAACCCAGGTTTTCTGACATGGTTATCTCTCCTCCCCCTTTATTTGTAGATTCCTAGCCTTTATTCCTGTTTTTAAAGTCATTGCATATTTTACCCTAAGATATATATATATTTTTAAGTAGGTGAATATAAATCTAACACCAAGGTAAAGCCAAGAGCTGCAAAATTCTCAGAGTAGCAAGGTTACCAAAGCAATTAATGAGTACTGAATTTGTGGATATCAGGGTGTAATTCCAGAGCTTTCGATACAGGGCATTTGAAAACAGCTTAGACGTACAGAATCCCTAAAGAAGTAGCTTAAGAGATGTGTCAGTAGGGACTTAGGTCAGTAACTTGTGCAAAGGATGACAGTCCATTGTAGAGAAAGAAACCTAGAACACAATTTCAAGGCAGGAAAGCCAACCGTTTACAGGCTCACTTACAGAGAGTGGCATGGTATCCCTCTTTGGGTAACATGTTAGTGGCAGAGCTCTACAGCATCCAAGCAGGGGACCCACTTAAAGTGTGTGAGGACTATATTACACTGAATTAATGACGCACAAGGGGACTGTTTTTCCTTATCCAGGTGAATAAGGGACCTCAGGTAGGTGCAAGTCAGTGATGACAGTCCTAGCCCTTGTATAACATAATAGCTACTTACTGAGCTTCTCCTGTGTGCCAAGCACTGTGCAAGACACTTTACAATGTCATTTTCTTTAATTCTCTCTTCTCAGAGGCAGGATGATCCCAATTTCATAAAGATAGAAAACGAGTTCACAAAATTTAAACACATTCCTTAAGGTAAGACTAGAAAGTGGCTCAGCTGGGATTCAAACCCAGGTGCTCTTCCCATTATCCTGACCCCAGTAAGGATTATAGTTTATACTAGATGTTTCCCTGCTACCATTTCTGGAAAGGCAAAGAGAGTAGAGAAAGACAGAAAATGTTACCTTCCAAATAACCTTCAAATAAAAGTACAATATGCTTTTTAAAGATTGCTTTCAAAATAAAATAGGGTACTTTCAAATTATTTTCTTCCAAAAATTTACATTTATTTTTTTTAGAGAGAGCAAGTACACGCAGGGGGAGCAGCAGTGGGAGAGGAGAGAGAATCTTTTAAGCATGCTCCATGCCCAGTGTGGAGCCCAACCCAGGGCTCAATCCCACGTCTCTGCTCAGCAGGGATTCTGCTTCTCCCTCCCCACACCCCCACCCCACTTGTGCTTTCTCTTGCTCTCTCTCTCCCCCAAATAAATAAATAAAATCTTTTTTAAAAAAAAGACTCCAGGACACACTCTCTGAAACATAAATGCTTAAAAGGTCTAAGGCTACACCAATTGAATGATTATAAGAATAAGTACTGTACCTGAAAGTTTTTTTTCCAAACGGCACAAGCATCACTGGACCTAAAGGATACGACGAAAAGGTCTCCTCTGTCTGAATCCATAAGTTGAACTGCACAAGGATCTCCAAATGGAAGCTGGCACACACTTTTAGGAGTCCCATTTTGAAATGAAATCAGCTGATTCTTTCGAGTAAGGGCAATCAGAGACATTCTTAACTGATCGTTGACCATCTCCATTGCACAGACATGCACATAAGTTACTACACTGCTATAAGCAGGAGGGATAATGTAAGCCTCACTTATTAGTTCTTCATTTTCAAGGGAGTATACACAAAATTTGGTATCCCAAATTGCATAATCTGATTTTGAAAGTTTTTGAGTGCATCCTTCTTCATATAAAAAAGATGTCTTTGGTCCTAATAAAACCATACCTAGATTTTCAACCTCCCCTGCCCACTCAACAGAGGAAAAATTAAAAGACACAGTAACAACTTTGCCAGTTTGAGAAGAGATACAGTAGAATGTTTTGACATGTCTCCATAAAACTGAAGGGCCATTCAAGACCCTTATACCATCCTTCAACTCATGGCTTAGTCTAAAGCTCAAACGCTTTTCAAATTTATTGGTACTGTGAAGAAATAGAAGAAAATATCTGAAGATGTTATTCTTTTTACTGCACTGTATCATAATACAAGGGAGATTAATTCCAGTTCTGAAATCTGACACACAGATGCAACACATAATTTTTAAATGAGAGTTTTCTTCCTTTAGCATAAAGAATCCAGTGGACTTCTGAACAAATGCTCTTGTATTTCTGTCAAATACCATTCTTCTGACATGTAACACAGGTATTTTTGCAGGCCCTTTACCTGCAAAATCTCCCTTAGACAATCGAAAAATAAGGACTTCCCCATTATAACACAAGAGCATTTCTTGTTCATTAGATGACATTGCTTGTTTGCTAGTCATTCCACAATATCAAGTCTTTGTGTCAGTCCAGTTTTCGAATGCAAATTGATTCCAGCTGATGCTTTTAAACCTAAAAATGTAATGAGGAAAACTACCATCAAGTAGGCAGTTGAAAAGAAAACACATTTCTGCCAGAGAATTATCACATAGATAACTATAAGTTTTATGAACATTTTTAAGCTTTTTATGCTATCTTAACAATGTTACACTTATCAAAAAACCACATCCCAACTATCATTTCTGTACAGTTAAAAAATAGTTTGCAAACAATGCAAATAACCACATCACAAAAGATAACTAAATGTGTTAACAGCATCTATTAAAAGCTGTGGGTGCTCCATTGAAAGTGCCTGAAGATGTTCTTTCTGGTTCAGGGGATTTCTTAAGGGTTCCACTTATGTCTCTCTTTCAAACCTACCAACCTAATCTGGTTTTCCTATTTTCTTCCCCCTCCCCCATTTTCTACCCTGTTGACTCAAACCTGGTTTTTTCCTCTCAGCCTTACACCCTCAACAATGACAATTAAGTAGTCAGTGACTCATATTGAGTGCTACAACAACCCAGGCACCTGGGGTCCTGCTTTCCTGAAACAGGAGCTCATACAGATTCTATGGCCAAAATAAAAGCCCAGAAAGAAAAACAGGAGATTCTATGCCATGGTTTAAAAATATCTCCATAGAAGTAATAGAAATATAATATTAAATCTTACTTTGCAAAAACAGTGCAGCTTTAGGACCTTAAGAAAGTCACTATTCCTATTCCAAATAGAAAAAACTAGAAGATTAGTAATATTATAATGAATACAAGAATTAAATAATAGCTATCAATTATTCAGGCTTATATGCCAGGTACAATACATAATTTCATTTAATGCTTACAACTATTCTTTTAAAGTATTCTTATTATCACATCTTTCAACTGAGAAAACTTATTATTATTTTAACTGAGGTCAGAAAATTTTCCAAGGTTACAACAATAATCGGCAATGGCACTAGATTTGGAAGAGGGGCCCTCTGACTTCTAAGCCTACACTTTTAACTACCACACTGTCCTGGCATGCATCCCCTTACTCTGAACACTGGTTATAAGCAAGGCAACCTGAGAGAATTAGTAAAGTAGAATGAAGAACAAAGGAACACCCATAGCATCACAAATGGCAAGATTTCGTTCTTTTGTATGGCTGAGTAATATTCCATTTCACACACACACACACACACACACACACACATCTTCTTTACCCATTCATCCACTGATGGACACCTGGGACCTACAGGATATTTTATGACGTGAAATAAGTCAGACAGAGAAAGATAAATGTTATAGGATCCAACTAACACATGGAATCTAAAAAACAAAATAAACAAACAAAAAAACAGACACTTAAATACATAGCACAAACTGCCAGAGTAGAGCTCAGTGGGGAAACGGGCAAAACAGATGAGGGGGATTAAGAAGTACATTTTTCCACTTATAAATAAGTCATGGACATGAAAAGTACAGCCTAAGGAATGTAGTCAATAATTTATAATAACATTATATGATGACTCTGCTTATGGTGAGCACTGAATAATGTATAGAATTATTGAATCAATATGCTGTACACCTGAAACATACATGTCAATTATACTTCAATGGTAAAAATAAAGTTTAAAAAAGAACACAGGCCAAATCTAACAGCAAAAAAACGAAATTACAAGGGAACACCCCTTACAGTGAACACACATATAAGAGAAAGATGTTGATCTCTACTCAGTGGCTATATATGCAGAGTCACTCCTTTAACAGTTGTAGAAAGCTCAGCATATGCTATGAACTGCACATGGCCGGAGAGCCTAAAGAACTGTGTGAATGGTGGGCCTGGTCTGCCTCTTACTAGAGGTATGACTTTGGGCAAGTTACTTAATCCCTCTATGCCACATATCCACATATAATGGGGTGAAGTACTACCCCATAAGGTATTGAAATTAACAAATATAACCCACTTAAAATAGAACCTGACACATAGAAAGTGCTTGATAAAGCTTAGCTGCTACCATTGTCATTATCATCATCACCATGGCCACTCTGGTTTATATAGTACCTAACTTTTGAAACATCAGAACAGTTGTATACTTAACATTGTGAATGCTGAAAGGTCCCTCTCCACTATAAATAACTCTAACTCATACTCTTTCTTTTCTCATACTTGTGGATCATTTACACCAGAAAATTCAACTATTTCAGAAAACTAGGTCATTTGCAATTAAGTAATAATGTTTTCCTCTGCTGAATGAGAAACAAACTGCAAAGGCTTAGGTTTTGCTCTTTTATTATAAAAATCTACCAAGAGTCCAATTAGAAAAAAGGATCACTGAACCATCTACAAATTTAACTTAATGTAGCATTTTGTAGAAATGACTTTAATTTAGAGGCAATTCTATTAAAATGCAGACTTGATTAGTCAGCATCTACTTTCAAATTGGAGATACCGTGGCTTATTGTCTAATTTCCAAATACATCATTTGTTATAGTTTTAAACGATGTTCACAAATTCTTTGAAATTCCTTCCATCAAGAAGTGACACTTAATTCTCCTCTCCTTGGGTGAGGGCTGGTCATTATGATTCACTTCTAGCCAATAGAATATGGCAGAAGGGACAACGTGAGACTTCCGAGACTGGGTCATAGGACATTGTGGCTTCCTTGTTGACCTGCTCCTTGGATCACCTGCAATGAGGAAAGCCACCTACCATATTATTAAGACACTCAGGCAGCCCCATGGAGATGTGCATTCAGCAAGGAACTATGGCTTCCTGCCAATGGTCAGCAAGAGATTGGGGCCTTTTACCAACAGCCATGTGAGTAGGCCTTCTTGGGATCAGATCTTCCAGCTCCAGTCAGCCCCCTGGAGAGATCCTGAGTCAGAAGAACCAAGCTCAACTGCTCCCAAATTCTTGATCCTCAGTAATTTTGAGATAATGTTTGTTGTTTTAAGCTGCTAAATTTGGGAATAATTTGTTATACAGTAACAGATAAATACATTCCTCTCTGGTAATTTGTTTAAGTTGATGATATTGTTTTTGAGAAGTTCATGAAACCTATTACTTGAAGTAACTGGAGAAACTATCATAATACAAACTAGCAGAAGTCACTGGCTTATTGGTTTGTTGTTAGGCAATTAATGCAAAGATCTGGGACAGTAAGTATCATAAAGTAGTTTCAGCTTTATTAGTAAAGAAGATAAGCAGGTAAATCAAAGGTGTGGCTTTTACTTATGAAACTATCTTTTAGTTTAAAGGAAATAAATATTGTATTACAACAAAATGTATGAATAATAATTTATTTAAAGTTTCCCACAGATATGTCCGATCTCTTAGATTTCTAAAAGAAGTTTCCTTTTTTAGCATTAAATGATACATTGTTCTTTTAGCATTAAAATTATATAATCTGGGGCACCTGGGCAGCTCAGTCAGTTAAGCGTCTGCCTTCAGCTCAGGTCATGATCCCAGAAGTCCTGGGATTGAGCCCTGCATAGCATTGGGCTCCCTGCTCAGCGGGCAGCCTGCTTCTCCCTCTGCCCCTCCCCCTGCTCATGCTTTCTGTCGCTAATAAATAAATAAAAATCTTTAAAAAAAATGATAGAATCTGAGGTAAAGATATAAGAACGTGTCTTTTACTACCTATTTACATGAAAAGTTTTTTCAGATTTCTTAAGTACTAGAAACAACCAAAAGTAACTTCTATACAGAAAAGGATTTTGGAAGAAATGAGTGAGACCCTTAATACAGAGATAATAACATAGCAGAGATAAAGGGCTCAATAAACGAAATGAGAAACACACTTGACAGAATGAACAGCAGGCTGGAAGAAACAGAGGAACGAATTAGTGACCTAGAAGGAAGAGTAAAGGAAAGTAATCAAGCTGAACAAAAGAAAGAAAAAAGAATTCTGCAAAACGAGAACAGACTTAGGGAACTCAGTGACTCCATCAAACGTAATAACATTTGTTATTTTAGTATTAAATGTCACAACTAATGTTTAATCAACGCAATGCTCTGGTTCACCAATATCTGAATATGACAGAAGGAGAATCTGATTGCTGAAAGGTCAGCAGAATATCCCCCTTTACTAAACTCTATGTATTATTGCACCTTGATAAAGTTATGACTTAAGAAAATCAGACCCCTTACATTCTCTTCTTTTAATGCTACCAGCAACTTCCTTAACTTAGAAACCACTATCTTCTAACTCTGTTCCAAGTGCCACTACACTAGTTCAGGCTCTCAACTCTCACTTAGGTTGATGAAAAAGTTTCTTAAATTGATCTTCCTTACTCTAGGCTCTCTCCCCTGCAACTTACCAATTTATTTATGCTACCTCAGTTATGGTTCTAAAACATAAACTTGATCTGGTAACTGTCCCCTACCTCAAAAACCTTGCATGTACCCTCTCCCCCTTCTCAATAGATGTATGAACCTAGACTTACTTCCTGGAAAGATAGATGCTAAACACTGTGAATTGAACACATGAATGACACAGAGAAAAAAGATTGCAAACCATTGCTATAAAGTTTATCATGGCATTCAAAGCCTTGTTATAATCCTAACCCAACATGCTTTTAGCATGAGCTCTAGGCAAAAAGCAAACTTATTCTCATGGATTTAGAGACTGTTATATGAAAGGTCTTTATTTTTAAATACTACTGCAAAACCATGCATTTTAAATACAGGTTATTTAAAATTGATCACCTTCGGTGTTAAAAATTAGAAGTCATTATTACTTATGAAGACAAATTTTTTTCCTCAAACTTTCTATAATCTCAAGGCTTATTGAATTTGCATACCTGTGTACATTTTATTTTACACTGATTCAATATCTGTTTTAAGAGTAAGAGTTCTTAGCATATGTTCATAAAACAAACCTTTAAGCCTATGGAATAAATGGTAATTTTCTTTTTTTAGATAAAAATATGGAAACAACTGAAACTAAGATCAATTTAGAGGTTCTAAGACCAATATAAACAAGCCCTGATTAATCAAACCCTGATTATCAGAGCACCAGATTTACTATTCCAGCCTATTGGTCATCTGACTTTTTACTTATCCTTACAACAGTGGCTTACACCGTAGTGGCTTACACCCTTACGACAGAAACAAAACAAAACAAAACAAAAACAGGTAACTCAAACCGGTTAAGTTTTACCTCCTATTGCACCTAATGGGGTGGGGAGAGGGTTGGAACCAGATTATTTATAAAATGCTATATATGAATTTTAGTTTTTCCTGTTCTGTATTACCATATATCATAGTTGAATGTATATATTTTGTACATAAAATGAATATACTAGGGAAATAATACATGCTCACAGAAATATAGTAGGTTGGCAATAAATTATCACCCTCATCCACTCTTCCCTACCAGCCTCCTATTAAATAAACAATGTTCCTTTTAAATGTTAATAAATTCTTCTGGGTGTCATAAATTTCAGAACTCTTCAAATAAACTACCTGTCTGGTTGAGGAAGATCACCATATATCTGGTTGAGGAAGATCACCATATATCTGGTTGAGGAAGAGCACCATATTATCTGCAGATAAAATCTAAAAATGTCTCTAAGAAACTATATCAAGAGTGAGCAATAGAAAGTATCTTTGGAAAAAAGGTAGAATTAAGACACCCAACTAAAAATTTCACCTAAGAATATTAAACATAATTTTATAAGAATACGGATAGATGTACTTTTCACAACATATAGGACATTATTTACCTAAGTAAATTAACTTGGCTACAGAATAGGTCTGCTGTTAAAAACGTTTTTCTACCTATATAACTGTACATCATTTGTTGGAGCCTACCCAGAATCAAGCTCTATTTTCCCTTTTCCAACAGCACTTAGTGTATCTGAAATGTAGGTGAACATGGGGGAATGGTGATCCACTAAGAGAATTAGGAAAGACTAAGTTAAAGGTTTTCTATGTCACCCTAAGGACTTCTAACTTTCTCTAAGCAATGATACACCACTGAAAGATTTCAAAAATAGAAATCACAGGATTGTACTTCTGAATTATAAAGATCCTGGTGACAGTGTGGAAGATGGGGGTGAGGTGAGAATGGAGGCAGAGCCATCAATTAGGAGATAATTATGAGTTCTTAATTAAAGGGAGAGGTGACTTTGGAAGGCAATTTGGCAGTCATCTGAAATGCATATATCCAGCAATTTCATTTCTAGATATGAACCCAGAGAAACAATCCTACATAATAATGTACAAAGACATTGCTCTAGAATGTTCATTGTGCTGTTGTTTGTAATATTAAAAAAGTAAAAAACTTCAATGACCATCAATAGAGGAATGAATAAATACAGATGGAATATCATACTACAGTTAAAAAAATGAATTAGATCTATGTATACCACCATGGCTAAATTTTAAAAATCAAATGAAAAAAATTAAGCTGCAGAAAAATGTATTCTGCGGTACATTATTTATCTAAATCAAAACACATAAAACAACATTACATATTTTCTGTTTACCTACAAAGGCTACATTCCCTGAGTGCTTCTCTGTGCCAGGTACTATTCTAAGCACTTTGGACTCATTTATTCCTCACTACATTCTTATGCTATAGGCAATATTATCCCATTCTACAGATGGGGAAACTGAGGCATGGAGGTTAAGAATCTTCTGAAAGGCCTAAAATTAGGAAGTGACAGAGCCAGGATTCAAATCCAGGCAGCCTTGTCCAAAATTTAAAGAGCAAAGATTCTGTAAAGATTCATGCCAAATTCCAATGACTGTTTATTCTGGAGAAGGAGATAGATATCAGGTAGGGGAGTGGAGCCACAGGAAGACGTTAGCTATAGCTGCAATGTTATTTTTTAACAATGCATTCAATTATTTTTAAACAATATGTCCATTTTTCCCCATAAAAATTTGTAGCATATTAAAAAAAAGTCTCCGCCAAAGATGCTAAAGTGTCGATCATAGTTGACTGTGGATGGTGGAAATATGGGGACTTCCTGCAATTTCTTTGTAGTTTTCAGTATCTTTCAGTTTTTAAAACCAGTATTATTGAATGCAAAACGATTTCCTTTCAATATTTTAGCCAACAACCATAAAATTGTTCCAGTGCCTTATAAACCTAACTCTTTCTGAAGTTTGGCACTTAATGTCATTTTGCACTGGATAACTGTCATAGGGGCCTCCCTGTGCGTTGCAGGCTATTTAGCAATACCCACTAGATGCCAGTAGTAGGCCCCAACCCAGTTGTGACAACCAAAAACAACCAAAAACATCTCCAGACACTGTCAGATGTCCGCTGCGAGACAAAATTGCCCCAGGTTGAGAACTACCCTAATTAATAAACTATGTTTTACATCTTTCAACTTTATATAACTGCTTTAGTTTAAGGATTTCAAATATATAATCCTTGATTATTGATTATTGTTTCTCACACTCCAAGTGGGAAAGATGAGGCGGGGGTGAAGAAAGTTCCAAGCGAAATAATCCTATACAGCAAAGCACTTAAAATCTAGTCATCATTCCAAAGAATGATGAACATAGGCCGCGGCAGACTCGCTTCCATCCCCTTATTCCGCAAAGAAGGGAGCCAACCCAGCTCTGCCGCCCAGCCCCGCGAAGACCAGGTAAGGGTAAGGGACGACTGGCCGGCCCTACCTCTCCGCGCGAGGCCCTGCGTCCTATAGCCGCCAGGTTCCCGACTCCGTACGCGGGCGCAACGTCCCTGCGCTCCAAACCTCCCGCCCGCGCGCTGCATCCTGGGAGATCTGGGCCGGAGGCTGCGTCGAAAGCAGAGGAGGCGGAGCCTGCCGAGCCGGCCGAGCCTGCTAGGAGACGGTTACCAAGGGAGGCTGAGGGGGCGGGGCCTCCAGGGAATGTGAAAGCGAAGGGCAGGCGGAGCTTGCTTGGGCGGAGCTCGGCGCGGGAAGCTCCCGTGATCCGGCGGTAGGCGGAGGCGGGTCCGCAGTGCAGGGGACGTCGGGGGAGCGGAGCCCAAACGAGAAGCTAATGGAAAGCCACGCTGGGACCTGGTTCCGCCTCCAGACCCAGGCGGCCACATTGGATTGGACAACGCGGCGACACTTCCGCCCGCCTCCCGGTGTCACGCGACCGTCTCCACCTCCCGCCCTTCTCTACCTCCTGGCCCGCCTGGCCAGTGATGAGATATTCGGACGGGTCGGAAGGTGGCCACCGCGATCGAAATCACGTCCACGACCGCGACCATGGCCGAGGTGAGGAGGCGACCACACCGCTGCCGGCCCTCCCCCCAGACCCGGAAGCTTCCTCTGAAGCCAGGGGGCTGTGCGCCCAGGTGCAGGTGGGCTGGGCTGAAGGGAAGCGGGGTGGTGCGCGTGGTGTCTAAGCGTCCCTTCGTGTCTCCCTTTCAGTATCACGCCCAGAATAAAGCCAAGCTCATCTCTGAGACCCGACGGAGATTCGAAGCCGAATATGTGACAGGTGGGTACCGCGTTCTCGATGTTGAGGCAGGTGTGCAATGAGCGTCCCCAACTTTCCAAAGGTGTTTGCAGGTGTCTGTGGGAAGCTTTAGGGACCATTTCGACCCTCACAGTGATGATGCCCTGCACGTTTCCAAGGTTTTCTTCTCCGTAACACGCCATGCACGCTGCTCCAACTGGGCAGGTGATACGCCCATTGCTTCCTAAAGGGTTAATGTAAGTTGGAAATTAGTTACTTTCTAGCATCTCGAGTTTGTGAAACTTGCAGGACACTTTCAAGGCCCACGGCACAGGTGACACTGTCCAGTACACGGTTTCTCTGCTGACCTTTCACCAGCAACAATGGAGAAAAAGAATCTGGAAACCGCCATAATGCTTTTCACGTGTACTTAATTGGGGATACAAATTCCTTGGATATTTTTGCCTAATTCCACTTCATACAACCCAGTATGCTACCCACGGAGTAGGCCTTCCAGGGCTGGAACAAGTTTTCTTTCATCCCACACTGTACCTAGCCAGAGTACCTGTGAGTCCAGAATTGATTTATTGGTTGAACATTATGTGTTCATATGGTTGAACGGATGTCCCAGATACTTGAAACTGATGATTTAATCCTTGTACAGTAATTTTTTAAAACCTGCAGGATAATTTATTATAAATATGAAATAGTGAATCCTGACCCTGCCACTTATTAGTTTGGTTGTCTTTTCTAAGCCCCTGTTTCCTTATCTGTGAAATATGAATAATTAGGAGGATTAACTGAAAAAACAGATCAAACTGTCTAGCATGGGGTTAACCTATTGTAGGCTCTCAACGAATATTTTGTCTCAAGTCGGTTGGTTTGGTTGCTGTGGAAGGGGTTAAACTTCTGCATCTTGACTTTAGTGCTCAGCAGAGGTTTTCTGCAACTTTAGACTGCCCTAGATTAAATGTCAGTGATGACCTAGAACAAATAAGGAAATGTGTTCCAAATAACCTGGTCAGTAAATCTTTTCATCCTCCCTGTCAATTTTCTTCACATTCCAAACTTTGCACTAGAGAGTTGTAAAAGCACTTGATTCACTTAGCCCAGAGATCTCATTTAAATAATATAGCTTGTTCCAGTAAAAAGATAATTCTAAAATTGCTTTCTATAGAAATGTAATTCTTATATTTACACGGTTTGTAGTATTTTAGGAAGTATCCCAGAACTTGACCTAATGGGCTAGTGTCTCCCCAATAGTCAGGTATTTATGCCCAATGGAGGAAGCAGGATATATGTATACATATGTGTGTGTGTGTGTATAGTCATACAAGTTTAGCAATAGATAAGATCTTAAAAGTTATCTTGGTCCAGACTTCTCATATTTAAAATGAAGAAAGTAAGATCTAGAGAGATGAAGTGATTCACTCCAAATCCTTGGTGTTAGCGGCTAGGCCTGGGCTAGTTTTCTGAATTTCACTATAGTGAAAATCTTTTGGCAACACCATCACGTCGAATTAGATCATGTCACTCCCTAACTTGAAACTCTTCAATACATTCCCACTGTGTTTATAATAAAAATCTCCATTCTTTATGGTGGCCTACAATGCAAGGCCATGTATGCTGTTGCTCTTGCCCAACCGTCCATCCTAATTTATAATTACTCTCTTCGCTTAGTACAGATTTCACCACTGCCCACAGTAAGAATCATATCACACATTGCAATCTAGTACACGCTCACACATGCACACATAACGAGCAAAAGTTCCTTAAGGAATACTTCTTCTGAAAACCTATGACTTCCTGTTGCGGTGACCCACAAAATTGACATCACATCCTACATGACCCAGGGTTTGAAAAACATGACCAGCCACACTGCTTCTTTTATGTTCTTCAAACAGACTGAATCTGTTTTTATCTTGGGACCTTTCCACTTCTCTTTGTTTGGGAGGCTCTTGCCCAGATAGCGTGCACGGCTAGGTCCTTTTTTTCTTTTCCATCCTGGTTTAAATGTATCTGAGAGGCCTTTGCTGATGACTAAATAGCCTCCCTGTTTATTTTGTCTCCTTTACAGCTCTTACCGTAACCTGTAATTATCGTGTTCATTTGTTTACTTATTGTTCATTTCCTCCAGTAGAATGTATATGGGTCTGGGGCAACCTGTGGGCATTGAGGGCAGGGACTGACTCACCTCTGTATACCTAGCACAGTTTTCAATATATACTCAATATAGCAATGCTTAAATATATACATAGGGAGATTAATCCGAGTCTGAGTTATGAGTTGTCCTAATTGGCTCCCCATCCCACCCCCCTCCCAAAATCTGGCAAAGAGCAACCCTCACAATATGTTTCATAAAGACGAGCATTATTTCAAAGTAAAACACTCTATGGCAATAAGTATAGGGAGGGTTGGGTTCGTGTGAATTCGTGTGAGCGGGTTATCTGCACAGCTGCTGTAAATACTAACTTAATTCAGACTTGCACGGGAAAGGAAAATAAAAACCCGCAAAGACTTCTGCCTTTAAAGTTTGAGTTGTTTCCTGAGATACTGCATCAGGTAAAGGTAAAGTAGGAAAGTGGTAAAAAGGGGTTTTTGATCTGCCTGTGTTCACCCTTTCAAGTTTACTTTTTAGAAATTAACTCAAGTGCTTAGAGAACGTGTACTTTCCTAATTCCTCTTTCATTTCACCCTTTCTATTGTCACAAACAATGTTTTGTTTCAGAAGACGCTTAAGGCTAACTTAAGCAAACAAACGTGATGTTTTTCCTAAAAGAAAATATTTGCAAATGTCACTTTAATAACTGGCTGTACTCCAAAAACTCTTTTGGAGGTAGGTTCTTGGGAATTCCAAGCACATTTTTGTTTCCATAGAAATTAAGTTACCAATATGGATAGATTTGTAGCTGTCAGAAAGAATAAAGGTTCATAATTGTTTTATGCATTACAAGTAGTCCTTTTTTTCTCATTGTTTCTGTGAGAAAGTCCATGCTCTCAAATGAGAAACATTTCCCGTTCTCTCTTCCTCCTGGTGGCCAAGGCAAGAGACTACTCCCTTGTGACAGTAATTTATTTGGTTCCTCAAATACTCATTATGTGCTTAATTCTGAGAAGCAGTATGTCCTTACTAGAGAAAGAACTGAAGAAGGATAGAGCTCCCTCTTGAACTACTACAATCTAGTAGAGAGGCATTAAGACAGAGCTAACTATTAGAATTCAGGCAAATTGTATCAAGAAGAATGAGAGTGCTAAAATCATTTCTGTAGAAATCAAAGACAAGGAAAAAAGTCACACGTGGTTGGGGTGATTGGGTTAGCACCAAGTGAGAAAAAACTTAGAAAAGGTGGAAACTTTGGAAAGGTGGAACTTTGGAAAATGGCAGAACTTGGCCAGGTAGAGAATGTGGTCCAGATGGATCAAATAGTCTGAGCTAAGGCACTGTAGTGAGAGGGTACAGGGCATGTTAGGGAAGCCCCGGAAAGTCCGCTTTGATGGGCTTTAAGCACACCCACTAACAACAGTGGGAATGTAGTGTAGAGAGTCAGTGTGTTTGTACTTTAGTGAGTTTGGAGAGCAGTTGAGGGATTGGTGTGTTTTCTTATTTTAGTTTTGTTTCTTGATTTTACAAGTATATGAATTCATATAAATGAATTTGGATGATACCAGAAAAGCCCAAAGAGTCCCCCATAAGCTAACCATCCCGAGATAGCTCTGCTAACAATGGATGCATTTTTTCCGTTTAGTTTTTGGGTTTTTTCTTAATAGGCTTCACGCCCGGCTGGGCTTGAACTCAGGATCCTGGGATTGAGACCTGAGCTGAGATCGAGTCAGGACACTTAACCAACTGAGCCCCCCAGGCGCCCTCACTCTTTTTTTTCTATACATTAAAAAAAAAAGCAGTTAAAAGACTTGTGTATGTAATTTTAGGGCTTGCATTTTTTTATTGACACGATCGAATTTATTTCCCTAGATTGATGAAGTAAACAGTGTTTTACATTACTATTTAATACTCAGCTCAATAAAAGATAATTTTCTTATCTTTTATCTTAATACTTCCTATTTGGATATTTATATTCTTTCCAGTTTTTTTTGTTAGTACAGTTTTTTGTGCAGTAGTTCAGATTGTTTCCTTAAGACTCATGTCTAGAAAGAGAATTATTAGTTTTAAGAATATGAATATATTTAAGACACTTCATATATGTGCTGCCGTTTCCTCCCCAGAAGTTGCACCAAGCTTCATTCCCACCAGCTGTGTTAGAGTGTTAGTCTCACCACAGCCTTACCCACGTGTCAAGTCCTCACTCCTTACCTGATGGTTCTTTTAGTTTGCATCTGGTTGCTAGTGAGAGTAAATTTCTTTTCGGATATTTACATCAATTTGTAGTTTAAATTTTTTTTTATTACTATGGCTTTTAAAAATGGTTGGGCTTTGGGCGCCTGGGTGGCTCAGTTGGTTAAGCGACTGCCTTCGGCTCAGGTCATGATCCTGGAGTCCCGGGATCGAGTCCCGCATCGGGCTCCCTGCTCGGCGGGGGGATCTGCTTCTCCCTCTGACCCTCCCCCCTCTCATGCTCTCTCTATCTCAGTCTCTCTCTCAAATAAATAAATAAAATCTTAAAAAAAAAATGGTTGGGCTTTTTCTTATGTCACTTTCACTTTTTTCGTGTTTTTAATGTATTCAAAATTACCCATTCCTTTGTGGTTTCTTTCATTGCCGTTAAGTTAAATAATTTTCTCTCGTCTGATAATTTCCTAGTCCTTTAATTTTTGCTTTGTCTTGGCTTATTATTTTTTACAATTTGAAATCTCTTTTAAGTAAAAATTGTATGAAACATGAATAAAGTGAACACCCATACACTTAACACCGCCATTCAGGGGCAGTGGTGTGTCCTGCATTTGGTGTTACTCATTCTCTTGCTTTTCATTAGCTTTACCACCTATGATGTATTCTTCACCAGTACTTTATTAAGTTTAACTGTTTTTGAACTTTAAAATAAAAGCTGAATGTATTTTTCCATGACTTGCTTCTTTTTTTTTTT